CCCTATTACGTTTAACCTAGCCGAAGCTGTCAGAGAAATCTTGCTCGTTACAGATAACGCTTGAAACGTGCGCGAAAAGTAACCGCTCACCTCTTATCGTCCAATTACTAGGCGAATGTAGGACTCGTTCTAATAGCTTCATTTTTCTAGGCGTTCTCACTCGGTCCCATTGTGCGGGCCGCTATTCAAACATAAATCACGAAAAAACACTTACAGACGGTTTTCTAACCTCAAAGCCGACCGTGCTTTGTCCGATTTGAATTTCGAGAGGGAGCCGCCGTGCGACGCACACGGCAATTATCCGTCGGCCGCAACTTTTTCAATCCTTGCATTATACCTACATTACCAATGATGAAATCGAATTGCGCGTAAATCCGCCATCTATGTCGAACGTAAACGATACAAAAATAGATCGATTCCTAACCTAAGAAATTATGCAATTTGTAACGATGTTGCATTAAAAGTGACATTTGAACAGGCTACAATATAATAATATAATATATAATATAATAATATAATAATAACAAGGCTACAATAAGGTTCACGAAATCACGATTTCGTCAGCTTTTTTGCTCGAGTCGATCTTTCTTTAAAGTCCCGAAGCGGTAGATAAATTTTACGATCGGATTTGAGATCGACGCGTCAAAATCTACGGGAAATGATGTATGACGTATTATAAAAAAGATCCAACCGTACATGGTACTGGATAAATTACAATTTTGTTGGAACATTTCAAGTTTAACATAAATCTTGAATGTTAGAAATTTTTCATACTACATTCTCTCTATGTTTTCTTTTTTCTGCAACATTTCAGATTTAACGTAAAAAAGAAAGTATCATCGCTTTAACTCACTCAAAAACTTTGTCACTCTATTAAATTTCGTCCGTAATTAATTAATTTCTAATTTTTTAAGTACGGACACGATAATATTAAATGAACCTATATTTATTTCGCACAGAATTTCCAAATTTTTGTAATATCGATATAATAATCATGTTATTAAAAATGATGTTATCTAAATAATTACGTGTACCATTGAATGTGCATTCTAACGAATCACCTACTAATGACGAAACAAAGGAACGTTTATTGTATTAAATAAATAATAACAGAGAAATAACAAGAAAGTTGTTTTGCTATTTCTCGCTTGTTTTCGCAAGGAAAATGGACAAAGATTAGCAACACCAACAACATTCCGAACGAAGGATTTGCGGAAACGTTTTTGTTTTACAAGTGTCTAGCTAAATAACAGCTTCAATTTAGCCTCTCGGCCCTGGAGAAGGTCTTTCAGGAGAAAAGTTTGCCGACCCTTGATTTCTGTCGCTTTTTGAAGCCGCTCAACGAGTCGTCGGTCTCGTCTACGGTTCTCTCCGCGTTCTCCACCTTCCGACTCTGTTCGTTCTTAACCTCGTGGCGGCCACGCGACGATAACCTCGTATTATATATATATATATATATATTATTATATTAACATTATATTATTAATTAATTAATTATTATATAATGTTAATATAATATATATATTAATATAATAGTTAATATAATATAATATATATATATTATATTAACTTTATATTAACTATTATATTTTATATATATATGATATTACCATTAACGCAACCCGTTTAAAATTCCATCACGCGAAGTTGAATGGAAAACTAACCGGACATCGAGGCGATTAAAGAAATAGAGAGCGTCGATGAAAGGATTCGACGAATTCGAAAAAGTCGGCGGATATAGTGCATAAAATATGAGGCCGCTCGACATCTCACCGCGTCAGGAATGATTAATGCGCGGCGAAGGGAAGACTGGCGGGGCGAATGCGCGTTCGGAAGGTAACCGGGAGTCGGTCACACCGTGGCGCCGAATTTAATCGGTGTACCACCGGGTGGCGGTCGAAGCTTCGCCGCCCTGACAACGACGAACGAAAAAAAAAAAAAAAGAAAAAAGGATTGATCCAGATGAAATTTTGTAGTCTCGAGTGACGTCGAGCGTTCCACTTTCGAAACATCGATTGAAAAAGATAGGTGTCTCCACGTGGGCCGAAGTAATCTTATCTGTCGTACGATCCTAAAATATTTCGTAATCACTGGCCGAATAATAGCCGACGGAAGCGTGCGAAAGAGCAGCCTATTTTCACAGCATAAACGTATCGAGACACGTCTCTCGGCCCGAAATAAACTCTTGCGACTATATTTTAAGAGGCACGAAAACAACGTTTTAGACGTGACCGTGCATGACTCGCGTCTCGATGGTCAGGCGACGTACAGATACGCTAATGGCGTCCTAATCGTTCTATGCGTCCTGTGACGCAACAACGTCATAATAACAGCGCGCGGATTGTTAACGGGCCAGGTTAGGCCAAAACATTCGTGACTTTTCAAACGATGCAATTTCGTGCGACAACCGCGGCGCGATTCGCTCTGCTAAACGCGCGCGTAACTTGCGGCGGTGTGAATGATTCGATTGTACGACTAACCGTACTAATCGGTGCGACGGCGGGAGGGAGGAGGGGGAGGTGCAAACTTGTCAGTCCGAAAATTCTGACTATTACGCGGGGCTTCGCGTTAACTATCGAGCGCCGGAAATTCATTTATCGACGTGCCGTATGGCAACAGCGATTTTCCGAAAATTTCCCGGGGCTGGTTGTGTGCTCCCCCGGCGCCGCGTAATGGAATTGCCTCGCTTGCGGATGAACCCCGAGCGCAGATCGTACGCGCACTCGTCGTTAATGACAGTTTAACTAAATCCGCGGATCGGTCCATTATCGTTCCGATACGATTCTCTCTGAATATACCATTTCCGTAACGACCAACAATCGTGACTTTCACGTGTTTCGCCGTAATCGCGTTCTCTCGAGCCTATTGTCCCTATAGAACGGTGCCAGAGAGCTCCGCTGGAATCGCCGCGGGCCATATCTCATTCAACCTATCAAGAAGGAGACCGTAAAATTTTGCATTCCGGAGAAAGTGCTGCCAAATCCGTCGTCTCCATCTTATTCGACGAAATGGCGCACTAATGGTCCACGAGCAGTATAAATTTTCCGCTTTTACGTTTTCCAAAGACATCGTCGTGAAAGAGTCTATCGGCGCAAGAGTATGGCGTTCGTAGTTTCAATTAGAAAGCAATTCTGCACGGAAGGTTATAAAAATTGTCGCATTATTAAGTTTGCCTATATTCGATGAATTGTCAAATAATAATTTTATTATTATTATTATTATTATTATTATTATATTATTATTATATTATTATTTTATTATATTATTATTATTATTATTATTCAATCGTATATGTAACAAATAAAAATAATTGCACCGAATGGAAATAATTTGGAGATAAAACAAAATCTCGAGTGCAAAAGGTTAACGGTTGAAAAAATAAAAGTAGCTTCTCGATTCGACGCGTACGTGTGTATATTTGTTTATCCACACAGTTCGCGCAGAACTTTTGATGCGACGCATATATATATGTATATTCGAATGCGGTTTTTTTCTGTATCGATCAATGAATGCACGCCGCGTAACTGCATACAGCGGGATCGGGTTTCGATCCACGTGTCCTTGCAGGTCGAATAACGCGTCGCCTTTAACCGGTCAACCCGCTCATCAACCCGAGCGAACTCCACGGGGCACCTTTCACTCGTTTTATTAATCATTATCAAAGTATGCCGTCTATTCTGCAGCCCTGACCAGGGAAAACCGGCTCTTTCCTCGGCAAAGAAAATGTCTTTGTAACGAAGATGAGTCACGGCGAAGCTATGAACGACATTCAACAATTAACCAACCCGTTTTCTTTTCAGATTTTCTATCAGCAGAGAACGCGCGCGGTTCATTCTGTCGTCGGAAGATCCGTTCGATTCTTATGAAAATATTTTCGAAGCCCCGATAATAGTATCTCAGGGGCAGAAAATATTCTTTATAAACGATAGCCGCTTGAACGTACGCACTTTGTCGGATAGGTCGCGCGACCTTTTGCCGCATTATGTGCTCGACGGTGGATTTCTTGAAACGAAGTACGAACGAGGGGGGAGGGGTCCATCGATGGGCCTTGGGAGCACAGTAAAAGACGAGCAGGTGTGCCGCATTCCTTTAAACGGAACACTGACGTAGCCGGGCGGAATAAGATTACTGGTTCCACGAGCAACAAGACCAACCAGACAGAGAATTCGCGGGTCCGGTTCCACGGTGAATCGAACGTGAAACGCGGGTACTGCGGCTGGAGCGAATACAGTGACTTTACCGGAGGGGGGTGGCACCCTCCGGTTCGGTGCTATGCGAACGCGTAATGTGAAAATAACTCGCTAACTCGGGGGGGTAGCGAACCCGTTTCAATCTAAACATAGATTTGTCAAAAACGTCTCTACTAATATCCCTCTAATTTCCCAGTTATTAAAATACCAAAATATTTTATCCGACGGTGTCCCAGGTGTCGAACACGCTCGAAGCTAATACTTCGGCTCGAGCATCCATCGAAGCCGTCGACAACAATCATCATACGTGGAAGTTTAAGTTCACTGATTACCGGGCCGTCGTATCCTAACGAGGATACCGTTTCGAGAGACCACTCGACGGCTCCCGATACCGTCACTGTGTTCGTTCCACTCACCACACAGGTGCACACGCACGGAGAATCACAAAGTGGGCGAAGCGAGAAAACAATCTTGCCACGCGTTAACTCCACGCACACATGCTACGTATCGAGCAGTTCCGTTTGCGAGCAAACGACACGCGAACGGTTATCTCCGCGAACTTTTTTACAGATACGTCGGTCATCCTTGACCCTCGGCTAAAAACCCCCGACAATGAAACGATCTCTCTCTCTCACTCTCTCTCTCTCTCTCTCTCTCTCTCTTTCAAGTGTTAGCCCGTATAAAGGGTTAAGTAAGATACGCTCGAATACCACGCATACATCTATCCACGCAGCACCGTTAACTTGCACGCCACATGGTCGCGGATCGGTCGCGTGTCACTGGCAGATACATTTGCCCAGATTTATTTACCCAGGCTCGGCGACACGGCGGATCGGGATGAGAGCGGCTGAACAGGTCCGACTCGAAGTGGTTCACTGCGGAGATCTGTTATTCGACGTACACACTGTAGATGCCGGCGCGGAATTCCTTACACGCGTAACAGTTCGACGCTCGAGGGATCTCCCGGACACACGAAAACGTAACGCGACTCGGCCGCGGTGGTAAAGTCGGGCTCGAAAGTTTCGCGTCGGACCGACGTTTCAGATATTCGCGGAGAAGCTGAACACGGGTGGAAAGCAGGACGCGGGTCGCACACGGGGATCCGGGCTCCCGAGAGGCGCCAGGTGCGACTGGACACGACGATCGGTCAGGCTCGGAGCGAACGCACTCGAAAGAAACGGGGAACGAGAAGAGGCTATCTCCGCGGCGTTCGTCACACGCGTAACGACCCCCCTGGCCGCGTACCACTGTCTTTTTCGACTTGCAGCGGCCAGCCGCAAACGGTTACTACGAATCTCTCATTGATACACACCTTCTTGTGACCTAGTAACGAGAACACCTCCAGATGCACATCCCGTACGTCGCACATACGTGTACATCCGACACTGCAGAGCCACTGAGCATCTCCGAGGTTAGGATGGCGAAGTGGGGACACCTGTTCGACATCCGTACACCAGCACCAGCACCAGCACTTTCTACAGTTTCTACGCTATCCGACGGGCCCGTGCGTGGGGATGCCGTCTATCGATACTGCCGTCCGCGATTCGCCGATGCACGCACTATCGAGAGCCGTCTCGACTCCGTCGTCGAGATTTATCGGACGCGAAACGACTGCGAAACGACCGTATTGCGGCCGTGAATGAGCGGTCGACCCGGTGTCATTGATTCCGCGGGGGACAATGTGGCGACATCCGTGCGTATTCGGCGAACACGGTCGCTGGTTCTTCTCCGTCGGTAACACCTTCGCGAAAACTTATTTATCGTAGCTAATGTTTACGGCAGAGAAGGGCATGTTTTATAAGAATAACGAATAATGAATCAAATTTTATTCGAAATATTATTCGATGTATAATCCGAATAACGAATCAAATTTTTTATTCGAAATGTTATTCGATGTATAATCCGAATAATGAATCAAGTTTTATTCGAAATGTTATTCGATGTATAATCCGAATAAACTTATATTCAAAGAATTTATTCTGATTATATTTATTATTTATTTATTATATATATATATATATATATATATATATATATATATATATATATATATTATTATATATTTTTTTTTTTA